GGGGGGGCTGTATTCAGTTGCGGAGCCGCTGTAGAGGCGACCTTAGGATGGAGGGCGATAGGTAAGCCTTTCTCGGAGTTGGAGGTTGTAGCTTTTGGTGTATCTTGAGGTTTTTATCTGTTTTGGTCTGTAGAAGGCCGTGTTAGCAGGAGGACACCCGCCCCCCGCGGTTGACCGGCGTTTTTTACGAGCACGGATTTTGATTGGGTGGTCTGTCGAAAGCGATGTTTCTAGCCGGAGGGTACAACACAGCGTAAACACAACAACACACCGGAGAAGAGTGATCAAAATATATCAAAATGCGCGAGTACTATAGTTCGGGAACATGCTGTGGGTAGGTACAGTAAGTTGTTGTGTTTTTGCCTTTGGCCTGGCATAATGGTGTGTTGGGCGTAGATGACGCGGCACTCCAACGGACGCCGCGGGTCGATTTGCAAGCCTCAACTTCCCCGATATGAGGGGGAAGGTGTGGAGGCTAGCGAGGTGCGTACGGATACCCTTACTTGGAATTGTCTCGGGAAGAGCTCGCCAAAAACCTTTGTTGCCCGTGTCTGGTGCAGTTTCCCCAACGGGTGGAATCGGGGGCAAAGTTGAGAAGCGTTGTCCCCATGTGCGGGGGACACTTGGTGGCTTTTATGGCGCGATTTATGGAGGTCGCGGCGACAATTCAACCCTTTGGAAGGAAGATTTGTTGATTGATGATTTGCTTTGTTGGTTTTGTGTTTTTTGCCGGGGGAACACCGGCAGTTGTTTTGAATCCCAGCAAGCAAGGAGTGTACCGTAAGTGCCACGCCAGCAGCCATCAGCCGCAGCAGCACGTAGTGAGACGTAGTGGGTGTAGGTTTGCTGTGGTGCCTATCGTGAGGCGCAAGTGTTCGGTATGTCTCGAGAAGCAAAACTAGATACATCTAAAAAGTGAGGTGAAGTGACCTACTTCGTTGTTCGTGACCCGGTTGCTGTCCCACCGCCTGCTGGAACAAAGACTCGCAACCAGACTGAAATTGAGTCCAGTATCCGGCAAGTTTTCCTCAGCACTCACTGCTGTGTTGGTAAAGACTTCGCTTGACACATTTCATGCAGCACCTTGCATTCGTTCGAACGGGTCATCATCTCGAACCTCGTGGTAGCCTCGAAAGCCAACAACCTGCACGGCCGAAGGCAAAGGTACGAAAATTCGAACAACCAACCGAATGCCAAACGCCACCTACTCTTCGACCCTCCTGCTGCTTGGGCACACGACGCTTTTGCATGCATGAATTACGGCATGCTGACGGGAGGAAGGACCATGCCGTTGAGAGTATTAAAACGTTGACCAATACCGTCGCCACCAGAAAAACGAAAGCCTCCCCCCCCCGCCGCCGTTTCAGAAAGCTGTTCGTCGTGGTGAGCACCTGATGCAAGCATCGCCCTCGGAACTCACGACACAGCAAACGACGGGCGCCTACCCAACAAACACGGACGCGGAACCATGACGTATCTGTCCTTCTTCTCCTCTCCACCACAACAACGCATCAAATTCAAGGCCGGCCCTGCCACCGCCGTCCGCTTCGTCCCCCGAAAGCCTACGAACCTGAGAGGATCGGCACAAGCCAACGCACCCCCGAGCACCACTGCGAGTGCCGCACCGCTCCCGCCGCCACCAGCAAGACGAACGCGGGACAGGCTGTTGGGTTTCACCAAGTTCTTCTTCGGCACGGCGAATGCGGCGGCGGCGTAGGCGGCGGCGGCGGTGATGATCACGAACGGCTGCAAAGACGACGGCCGCCAACACGCACTGTGCCGTCTCTCGGCATCGACGCGATCGATTGCTGTCCTGGCAGCAGCAGCAGCAGCGGTGACGGCGGCGGGCGGCGGCTCCCACGTGGGGGGGCGACCACGCCCCCAAACACCAACGCCAGACCCGACACTGTTT